TGCACTGGGATGCCATGACGGTTTGCTGTTTTGAGATAAAATCCTCGGAAGTTTTCTCTTGACCTACTTTGAGGAAAGATTTTCCGGGGCACAACGTTCAACAGAAACCTAAATTCGTCACTTTTGTCATCGTCAATATATAATCTCTTTGGTTCCTTCACACCCGCGTATTGATTGTGTTAACTTGACTCTTGTTATTCGACCTGCTTCTCGGATCTGAGGGAGACTATTTTAACTTCTGCTGTTTTACATCGCCGATCGTTTCTTGTAGTATGTGTCACTCACCGACCGAAGGCCTTAAATTGCTTCTTGGGTGATGGTTAGATTTACGTTGGCTGCTGTGGTATTTATCCGGGCTTGTATGGATACATTTAACGGAAACATCTGAAGAGTGAAGATTTGTTCAGTGCAGCCTCTGCCTGGACGAAAGCCACCTTGGTTATGGCGAGTTCGCAGGTTCCTCTCATTGACAAAGCGGGAAAGCAAGATACATGCGAAAGTTTTGGCAGCCACATCGATTAGACTTATCCCGCGATAATTACTGCAGACAGTTCGTTTACCTTTCTTGGGAAATGGAAGTACTGTGGTACTCCACGAGGAAGGACAGATTTCGGTCTCGTGTAAATGGTCAAGGAGAGCTGGTGGACAAGATTTGTATATTTCTTCTGGAATCCCGTCCGCTCCAGCGGCTTCCTTCGGCTTCAGGCGACGAACAATGTCTGCAGTTTCTGTGGGAGATGGCGCTGAGCAATTTGCGTCATATCCTGAGGGGGTTGATGCTGAACTGTGTGCGGTGATATGTAGTGAGCGGTTTAGGAGGTTGCTAAAATACTGTCTACCTATCTGGCAAGATATTTTCCGTATCGGGGATCATTTGGCCTTCCGAATTGCACAACATTGGCTGTGATGAATAGCGCTTGCCGGAAGCTAAACAGATGAGACGAAATAGATGACTTTGATTGCCAGAATTTGATGCAGCTTCCATCTTGCCTGCGATACCAGAACGGTAGCGGTTGCGATCATTCCGTGCTGAGCGGGTTGCCTCACGTCTCCAGCGACGGTAGTCTGGGGAATTCATGAGGCGTGCTTCTCTCGCTTTAGCGGACAAGCGGATAGTATCTTCAGTGTTCCAGTCCTTCACAGATAGAGTCCAGGGTAGATAAAGTGGCGCGTTAAACTGACGATTCTAGCTTAGACCAACGAGCGTCTACAGATTAATTTTCTGCAAGTACGAGGCGTGGTGCACTGGCAGAAATTTCTGCTTCTATTGCTGCCTCAAAGAATCGGCAGCAGTCAGTGTTTTCCAGTGGGGTAGTTTTGCTACGCTTTGGTGGAAGGGTCTTTCGGCGCGTTGTCAAGCGGAGTCTGAATTTTTCGCGCAGGAGTACGTGCTCCGAACCACCTTGCCCGTTTCAGCCCTTCTGTACAAGTCAAGTCAAGACAGTATAGGCTTTATGTACCCAGATGCGTGCATTTTCAACAGTTTACATTGTTAATTTTAAGTGTACTCAAGAGTTGCCATAAAAAGTGCTAAGTTTAAACATGAGTAGAAAAATGAGAAGGATGCACTGTCATAGATTGATCGAGCAACGATCCAAAAAAACTGAACGAACTCTTCGGGATTTGTATCTATTCAAAACGGAAAAGCTTTCATTAACATTTTCCCACATAATTCGCTTCAATCGACACAAAATGTTTTGTCCAAATACAGTAGATAGGGGATCGTGCGCGATGTGGCTTTTATATTTAAAAGTGCTCGGAGTAGTGGGTCTCAGTGGCATTGGAAGTTGGTTGAACACAATATCTGTCAGCTTGATCTTGCAAAACCGAGATGTATACGGCAGATAATGCAAAAAATGGTGTTCGGCGGAAAGGCAACGGCCGATTTAATGGCCCCGTCACGCTCGACAGTCATTGGTGGAGAACATCCACCAGGATCGGATTAGTATGTAATCTATCTGGCTTGCTGTACGACCATCGTTGAAGTACTACATCGGAAGATGCTTCCTGGGATACTGAAAGCATGTATTGGTTACGCACAACCGGTTAAGGTCAGTGAAGCTGAGCAAGCGGTCTCCATTATCACTGCGCTCTCCAAGGGCGTATCTCCCGAGTATGTGACGGGTCTGATCGTTCCTAGGCCCGGTTTGTCATTCCAGACCCCAGCAATAAACATGATGTCGCGTTTTGGAACATGGTTCACCGCTGTCTACAGAGTATCGTAAAATTCGTCTTTGTCCCTTTCCGGTGAGGATAGGCTTGGTGCGTAGACAGATTATGGCCAGATTTATCGGGTGACCTTTTGAAGCGTGCGACTTCTATTCTAGTTGATACTGTCTTCCAGGAGAGTCCGAACATTGAGCACTGCCAGGCGGGATGAAGAATGGGGTTGAAGAATAGATGTTGGCTGGACGATTTAGATGTCAGTGAGAGGCATTGGAAATAGCATACAAAGGTTGTGAATTATCAACGAGAGAAAATTTGGTATGTGATGAATGTGCACGTATTTTGGGGAAGGTGGCAACAAAAGTGAGCGACTGAGTAGTACTTGCGCAATCCATGGTTTTCACACTGGGCACGATACTACCCGGTTTCCTAAACCGAACTAGGGGGTTGTCTTACGGGACTCCACTCCGAGCCTTTGGATCAATGGCCTACCCGCAAGGCAGCAGAGTGAAGTCAGGGATTCGCACCCATTAGCAACCGATTAATTATTTCTTAACTCAAATGCCTTTCGTTTGGTGAGTAGCCAAACTGGGGCTTAGTCGTCCCCACGATTTCAGCAGCAAGGATACACTGCTTCACCGAAGTGAATCAAGGGGCTGTGCTTTTATTTAGTGGCGAATCACAGCCGCTACAATGCATTGTTGTTTAGCGGACGCATGTAGCTTTTATAGGGAGAACACTTACCAGACGAAAACCCACCACCTGGAACACTGCCACCGAACCATTAGCTGGACCGAGATAATCCCGGACCACTCCGCTGGCACCACGGGTAGGTTGTTCTGCAGGCCAGCCGTTTCGGTTTACGTCCGCATTTTCGCTGTGAGCGCATAGACACCAGCCAACTGGCGAAGCCAGATGTCCTGAATGTGTACAAATTATGCTTGCATGCGGGCTGAGTAAGCGCTGTCTGAACGCAGTAGACGGCAAATGGTCGCATATTCACCAGACGTTATTAGCAGCAGACATGTCTTCATGTGGGCAATCAAATTGCCAATATAGGCGTTGGGTCTCTACACAGTCTCTAAAACTTCTGGTTGCTCGCCGACGTATTCCGGCTGGAAGTGAACATAATGAGACTCAAAAAAACTTCAGCGCGCAATTACGTGCTCTCCCCAAGAGAGCGCGAAGCCTGGAGGTCTCATCGTGAATCGGAATTGGAAACAACCGCTGCCGTTGGTTACCGTATGATACAGGAAACGAGCAACAAGAGATCTGGTGCTAACACCACCATGCGCGACGAGAGTGGACAGCCGATCCACAACTTGTCAAAACGCTTGGAGCGTTGGACCGACCACTTTTAGAAGTAGTTTAATCAGTCAGAGTTGTCAGCTTCTCTATCGGCCATTAATCGTTCCACTCCCTGGGTCATCCCGCCGGATCCTCCCTCACGCTCAGAAATCGAACGCGGGATCAGACTGTTGAAACTGTATAAAACCGCAGGAGCAGATAGAATTCCTTCAGTTCTCTTCAGATTCGGAGGACCTGCTCTTGTAGATGTTTTCACGAGTTGCTAATGGAACTTTGGGAGCAAGAAACTGTCCCGACAGACTGGAACCGCCCCATCATAGTCCCAATTTTCAAGCAAGGCTCGCGTTCGGAATGCGGCACTCATAGAGGGATCAGCCTAATCTCAATTGCTTCCTAATTGCTTGTGTCTATCATTCTCCACAGATTGACTGGCTCTAGTGAAAGTCAGCTTCGTGTGGAGCGAGTCGGATTCCGTCGATATCGAGATTGCATTGACCACATCTTTACTTTACGTCAATTATTGGAGCACCACTGTATTTATTGGCGACTTACCGTAGTCATGTTCCTCCACATCAGAGGTGCCTTCGATTCGGCGGATCGATATGCCCTTTGGGATTCTGCTCAGGGAAGGTATGCACGAAAAATACGTAAATATTATGAGAGCGCTATACGCGCATAGGCTATAGTTGCGAATTCTAAGCATTCTCCTGTCTAGGCCTGGCAACCTGACAGTATTCCACTCACGCAATACAATGAACCTTTCTTCATACAATGAACCTTTCTTCAGTTTCTGCGTTTTGAAGCTCAGAACTAACTTGTTTCGTATGTTGCGGCTCATGTTGTACCCTGACAGGTTGTTCAAGCTGGCCCTGTCCTCCTAGCACTATCAGCGTCTTCGGGGCGATTTACTTCTCACTTATCACATGTTGACAGGACTGATCCGCCGGGACCTATCTTGGTTCTTTCGCCCCACAGAGTTATCAGCTCTTTACGGGCATTCGATGAATTTACGCAAACTCCGACCTGATTGGGTTCGGGCTGATACACGTTTGTCACGTAGAGTGATGGACTGTAACGCGCTACCCGAGGATGCTACATCGTCACCTACGTTGACCGGGTGTAAACATCGTTTGAACGACATCAGTCTCCAACACTGGATCTTATTTTTCATTAGTCATTTCCTTCTCTGATTTCTCTTCGGTTCCTTTCGTCTTGGCCTACTCGTTGCTAAATTCCTTTTCGAACTTCATACTTGCCTTCTAATGATATTCTAGCTTATTACTTGACTCTTCCTTTTCCTGTTGCACGTGGCTGGCACAGCGTGGACTGCTAGTCCAAGACAGTGGGTTTTGATTGGTTGACCACGGCGCGATCTATGCGTGCTGATTTGGCAGTCATAAATGGCCAATCATGCCACCGAACGCCTTTGTGAATTGACGGCGCATTTAAGTTAGTACGGCCTTCGTATTCTTTTATTCCTATCCCCATTTAAATTTGAATTTGCCAAGTATACGTTTTGTATTTCAGCTCCTAGGTCTATTACGACCTTTGTACTAATTGCACACGGAAGCCCTCGGAATCCTCAAACACGTACATACCACATCGATTTTTACCCTTCTGAGATATCTAGCAGCGATAACCAATGTCTTTTCTGGATGAAATAAAGGCTGGTAAAATCCTGAGGAAGGTTCCCGAATCTGAAATCAATGACCGTAGCACTCTGGATAAGGTTTTGAAACCAAGAGGTACACTTGTGTGTGAAAGCGATGATTGCCCTATATGAAAACATGAATAAAATGCTTTTGTTTCACCTTTGATTGCTGTCCATTTAGGCATCTACAGTTCTTACGTACCCACTCACTCGCTTTTTACTCTTCGCGGACCTGCCACTCATTTATTTAATATTTTGGGTTATTGTAGATTTATTCTGGTTCTTTAAGTTATTATTTTAATGGATCAGCTCATCTAACGTAAATTCAACATAGTTCACATCAGTCTAATCGGCACGCCTCTCACAAAGATTTCGAATCGAGCAGAGTCAGTCCCGGATTGTTTTTCACAATTCCTAAAATCGCCTGAACAGAACAGGCAACAGAAGAACAGAAGCGATACTTGACAGCCACTTGTGCACGTACGCCGTCGTTACTCTCATGGTCCAGATTGTATGTGGGTTAACAGTATTTTCAACCCTCCCAACCATTATTATCAGTGGTGTACGACGTTGCCTGCGTTTCATCCTTATTTGTGTTCCTAAAGCCAGTTCGACAGCTAGGTTTTTACTCCCGATGTATACCTATGGAGAACGCAATGCGGTGCTGACGTGTTGGGTATCAGAAACCCACGTCTAGATATCATAATTGTTTGAACATAGAAAGTCGAGTCCATTTGCGCACTTCCTCCGTGGTGCCTTTCTGGCTCTCCGTTCCACTGCGTTCCCTCAAACACATCGTATTGTTAGTGGTTGATTTGTGCACTACGTGCTCTTCGTCCGCATCGATCCGTGATTTCTTAGACTCCCTCATGCCCGCTTCGTTTGTGCGTATACTACTCCTTATCAGTAAACCATATTCGTAAGATCTTATGGCGCTGTTGCAAGCAATAGTAGACAAACCAAGTGGTCGTTTTGTTGTTGGGCTGTACAGAAGCTGTCTTAGAAGTTCCTCGCGTTACCTTTTCCCTATTTGTGATAGAATTTCTTATGATTAACCTTCGTCTCATATTTCCAGAGTTGTTCTGCCATATGGTCAACTGGCAAACTAGTATGCGAGCAACAGCTCTCCTTGGGTCATGCCTACAGACTACCCAGGCACTACTAACTTGTCTGGTGCGTAGCGCTGTACGCCTTAGCATGTGCTTTCCACCTTTAGGTTAAGAGTATTTGTTATCTTCTTGGTGTCCTTCCATCAACCACACTGTCAACACATGGAGAATGAGAAGACAAACAAGCACTGATGGAAGATAAATCACAGAGTAGGAAAATCTGGAGATTGGATGTAGTACAGTTTAAGGGAAAGAGTGTCATATTCCAGGATAGGATTATTAGCGGGCTGAAATAGAGGAGTTGCAGTTAGTGAACATAACTGTTAACAAAAGGGATGCATTCGATTAGAGACAGCTCTTGGGACCTTCGCCCTTAGGATTGGATGTCCGTAAGACTGCCGTCATGGATCTAGCTTTATATATTCACACTTTGCGGTCTTATTCGTTCAGTCTATTATGCAGCACGTTAGCTGAACTGTTTCTCACTCTCAGCTAACGTGTATTGATGATGAAGGTGATTGGCTAGGTGACCTCATCTGGAGGTTTGGGCTTCGATGGGAGTCAGAAATATCCGGGGAATGTCAGTAAGCATAGTAGTGTCGTAAGGCGTTGTTTGGCAGAGTGACAAACGCAACTGGTTGGCATGATAGACCCATAGTAAGGTATGTACATCCACTTCAGAGATAACTTGCCCAGTGCGGCCTGCAACTAAACTCTGTGTCCACTTTTTGGCACCATCGCGATAATTCCTAACCAACACAGATTGGCCAAGGTGAGGTGTACGACTCACGACACTGACGACGGTTGAATTGTTTCTCTGTACGGATGTTTCGGTTGTTTGGAAGATGTGACTCTGGACGAATGGCATCGACAAGTAAACGTAGCTTTCTGCTCATCAAAGCTTCTGGAGGTGAGTTTCCGTTTGGTGTTAATCTGTTACTCAGCAAGAAGCTTTCGATGATTTCCGGCATAGTCTCCTCTTTGAGCTCCTTTGCAATCTTCTCTGCAATCTATGAAGTTGTGGTCAACTGCGTACTTTTGCTTAGGGGTTGAACTGGGACGTTCAGGAGTTCAAGTATTTCGATCCAATCTAGCCCATGCAGCTTTAGATTGCGCAGTCAGCGATATAGCATGGTCACGAGAACAGCACATCGCTAAAAGCACATCGCAAATCAGTTCTCGAGTCAAATTACAAATACTACCTGATGTATTTCGTACATTATGGATATTGACTGATAGTGCAGGTTTACCGATTAGCTTCCAGGTGGCACATGCGACCAACTTAATGTCCGAAACTGTGTCAAACTGAAGGTGGACTGGGATATTGTTAACAGAAACTGACTAGTACTCTCTTCTGCATTCCAAATGAATTTGCAAGCACAGAAGTGGACTGAGGGTGCTTTCTGTGTAGTTCTTTTCTGTGTCTCTCCGATTGAATTGTGGACGCTCTTTTAAATGGTTAGTTTCCTGACATTAATGCGACAACAGAGGCCTTCTTTGTGGTTCCACCGTTAGCGCTGCTGACATCAATATTTTTTGAAAGCACAAGAAAGAGCGTGGTGCCATTCGCCGCATGACCAACCAGGAATTGGTGGCTTTTTGTTGTGATGGACAGTTGTTCGTGTCAATGCATGGACGCTACTTGAAACTGATGCTCTTGATTCTTGCCCCTTGGCGGTATCGTGCCTAAGACTGAACAGACGTTGACACCCGATGGTGAGCTATTTTGCTCTACTATCCGGTTGTTGTTTAAGTTTGGAAAGCAGTCAAGTGTGGATGCCCGACTCTTGGGGTGTATGAAGATCAGAAACAAAATCAGACGTTTAAACTGGTCCTCTGCGGGTGTCCGTAATTGAAACTTTTTCACACTCACGGTTTACGATGGCTACATAACTGACGTACTTATCTGAATCACGCTTTGCCAACTTGAGTAAGTTGTATCGAACGTTAAAAATCGGAAGTTACTCACCAGGAATCTCGCGCAGTTGTTCCATTGTTTGCACAGAGTCAAAATTTTGGATTGCTTTGAGGGAGCTAAGTTAATAAAGCGATCCTGTTCGTGGGTTCCAAGTTTCCATATTAAGAGTCGGGATTTTGATGATTCATCTTTGTCCGTAAACTTACTCTCAAATATATCCTTCCAGCTCTTGTATCATGAGTCAAAGGTGAGACCCGATGTGGACTCGTAGCGAAACTCCGAGATAGAAGCTGCAATAACATTGGATGAGAATACCAACCTGTTACTTGTTGACGGAATTGTTGATTGAGGGAAGAGGGACTGAACAAAAGTTTTAATGGGTCGCAATTGAGATTGCTCAAACTGCGCTTGTTGCTGTTGCGAGATTGCCTTCAAACCCTGAGTAAAAATGGCACAATGGAATCCGTTTCAGAACTCCGGCATCAGTGTTATTTTCTTGGAGTCCGTCTATCAGCCACACTGTCAACATACGGAGGATGAAAAGACAAACAAGCACTGAAAGAAGATATCTCACTCGGTAGGAAAATCCATTGATTGGGCATAGTACAGCGTAAGAGAAAGAGCGACGCATTCCTTGATAGGATTATTGGCGAGCTGAAATGGAGGAAAAGATGGTTTCAGTTAATGAGCAGAACTGTTAACAAAAGGAATGAATTTGTTTGGAGGCAGTCCCCCTAACAGTATTATTGCACGAATGGGACGGTATGCCACCAGCTCTCGCTACAACTGAACTGCCACTAGAAGTACCCGATCGTTTCTGTGGGCTTCCTAATCATGTTACAGCTTGTGGTCGTATTACTGTGGATGTTACTTCGTGTTAGCCAAACTCATGTGGACTTTGTTACTCAATTCTCCATGGAGACGGCGAGATGTCAGCGCGGCGACAAGACCAGTGTTCTGCATGTATAAGTGACCTAGTTAGTTTGCTTTAAAGTCATTAAGAGACTGATCATCTTTGATCGCCGGTGTTTACTGAATGTTGCTGCTATTCCGTGAGAAACCTGAATGGTCGGTACTGTGGTATACCGGCTTGTGTTTGGTAGGGAACTCTTGGGCTATTAAATTTGAGTGCTTCCTGTTGGTCAGCTAATGTCTTCCTTATACCCTTTTGCTACCTTGCTCACTGAGCATTATATACTGCCTGTTTTTATAGTTTTGCGGAACCACATGGTAACTGGCCATTAACTCAGCATAAAGGGATGAAGACATATGCCTAGAGACTCTTTAATGCTGGTCCGGCCGTCTTTATGAATGAGGTCCTCGGCATGGGCCATATAAGCGGTTGAAGGCCTTATCGGGCTTGACGTAGTCGCGCAGTCAGCGGGGTTCCTGCATTCGATCTTTTTCATCCATCTTTTAACGCTTCCTCTCTATTAAGTTTACACAGTTCCTTAACTCCATTCTTGTACTATCTTCTCACCTAACTACTTTTCATCATTCTTATTATTCGTGACACTAGTCGCGGCAGCTGGGTCCACCTCATTTCCGCACTAAGACAGTAGCGGTGTAACTGCACTGAACTAACCTGAGCGTATGTAGATATACAGTCGGCATCCCTTTACCAGGTGGCTGCATTTTACGGTGCGATGGTTTGCGTCCCTCTACGATCCATTGAGCTTTGCTGGGTGGTACTTTTGCACCTTCAGAGCCATTCGTACCAGATTGGTTAATGGTTAGAGGCCAGACAAATTCAGTCTCCTGGTCCTCCAAGTTAGACGTTGGTGTGAGTGTGCTTCACTCTTTGGAACGAGCTCTTCAGATCACTGCGACTCCCGTTGCTCTAAGGTCAGGTTTCTGAAACAAAATCTTTGGTTGGGAACCCTAATCGTTCTCTTGTCTTGGCCTATGCAACTTGACAGTATCCTGCCCATGTAATACAGTGTGTTTCTCTTCAAGTACATTCTTCATGCTCTGGCCATGGCAGAGGGTGATCAACGGCTCTCTGCTATATCAAGCTGAGTAGATAGATAGGGATGCTAATGCTCAGGCTTTCCTACCTTATTCTTC